CCTCTCCGCTTGCACCCCGCCATCCCCGCTTGCACCCCGAGGTCCCTTACTTGCACCCCACAGTCTCCCAGCTGAACCCCCCCATCCCTGCTTGCACCCCGCCATCCCCCGCTTGCACCCCACAGTCTCCCACTTCCACCCTGCGATCCCCGCTTGCACCCCGATGTCCCTTACTTGCACCCCATGATCCCCGCTTGCACCCCGCAGTCTCCCAGCTGCACCCCGAGATCCTTCGTTTTACCCCAACGTCCCTTGCTTGCACCCTGAGATCCCTGCCTGCACCCCGAGGTTCTTTCCTTGCACCCCAAGATCTCCACGTGCACCCCAAGACCCCCACTTGCACCCCACAGTCTCCCACTTGCACCCCGAGATCCTTCTTTGCACCCCAACATCCCCCACTTGCACCCTGAGACCCCTGCTTCCCCACTGACATCCCCTGCTTATGCCCAGCCGTTCCCTGTTTGCACTCCGAGGTCCCCCGCTTGCACCCCGAGATCCCCGCTTGCACCCCACAGTCTCCCGCTTGCACCCTGAGATCTTTGCTTGCACCCCAACGTCCCTTGGTCGCACCCCGAGATCCCCACTTGCTCGCTGACATCCCCTGCTTATGCCCAACAGTTCCCGGTGCGCACTCTGTGGTCCTCTGCTTGCACCCCAACATCCCCTGCTTGCTCCCCGAGATCCCCGCTTGCACCCCAAAGTCCCCCACTTGCACCCGGAGGTCCCCGCCTGCCACCAAGCCCGAGCAGGTAAGCACAGGGGTGGCTGGGGCCGGCGGCGCTGCCAGCCGCTCACCCTCCTCCTCCTCCTCACCCAGGGCGCTTGGCAGCACCTTCTGCTCCGTCCCCGGGCGCGGGGTGGCTGTGGGTGCCGGCAGAGCCCGTGGGAGCCGGGGTCAGGCTGCTGCTGGGGGTCTGGCAGCGGTCAACGCAGCACCCTACAGCCCCAGTGCGACTGGCCCCACCGCAGGTGGGACGGGACCCGGCGCTGCTCCCTGCGAGGCAGTTCCATTTTCACCAACCACCACAAATCCACACAAAACCCCCCATCAGCGCATGGGGTCCTGGCTCGGGGTCTGGGCACCGCCGGGGAGCCCGGAGCCAGCTCAGCCCCCTCTGCCCCGTGCCTCAGTTTCCCCATCTGCAATGACAGCGCTGCTGGGGGAGGAAATAAGTCACGCTGCCCTGCTTTTTGCAGCGAGGAAGCTCCATATGCTATAGGTGACAATGTAAACACGAAGAGGCGGGGGGGAGGCTATAGGGCCCCGCGTGACGCAGAGGGAAGAGGGGGTTTCTAGGCTGGGCCGTGCCGCAGCAGGATTTCCCCTTTCTCCCT